TGGGGGAGCGGGGTCTTAAATTGTTCCTTCAATAGTTATTAAGACCACAAAAAACTCTAAATAATTATAATCATAATGATCATAAAACTTATTTATGTTTCAGTTCATCAACAAAAAATGCAACGGGGTCCTTGGTGTAGTGGTTAGGCTCTTCTTTGTTACACGCAGAAGGTGAGATTTCAATTTTCGAGGTGACAACCGTCTACCTGCTGAGATGTTGTTTCCCACTCAGCCCATTTTAGCCCTGTCAGACAAGGTAGTAACAGCTTGCCTTTTAAATTCTAAATTGTGCGGACGTGGACTCAAAACATGCTAACAATTACACTTAACAATTACATTAGAAAATAATGCAAAAGGCATTTTGTGCGGTTTGAGTTCTCTTCTTTCCCACTCGGGTGCAACTATTATCGAAATCACTATTCGATCACAACTTAGAATACTGCAACGTTATCCACCGCGCAAAAATCCTTTGGTCGTCCGGTTTTCCTTCCTACATCCTAAGACCATTTTTTAGCGCCTTAACTTTTACTAATTCCTTCAATTGTGGTTTAAAGCAATAAACAAAACCCCAAAACAAAACGGAACAAAACAACCCAAAACAACAAAGCAAAACAAAAAACAAAATAAACAAAACACAACAAGCTGTCCTACAACCAGTTCACCTTCAATTAATTGTTTCCTTTTCCAAACCTAGCTTTTCCTAGCTACCTTCCTCCGCGCACCCCCCTCCCCCCTTTTTGTTTCTAATAGGGCGTTGGTTGGATTAATAACGTGTGTCTGACATTAGCGTCTCATTTCAATAGATATGTACACCGCAGTCTCGTGTTTTCACACGTGAGCGGAAAAATAAGCCAAAACACAGTAAGAACCCTCATACACATGAAAATATAATAATATAATCCCAAGAAAAAGCAAGGAGTCTTAAATTTGTCTGTTCTGTTCTGGCGTGGGAACCTATAACTATAACTTTCCCGCTATCTACTTTTATTTTAACTTGTAATCGTAGTTGTAGGAGCTTTACGCCTTCACCTACATAATTTAGATCATTAAAGGAGGCAGGCTGCTTCAATCCTGCTAACTGCTTATCGGGGCCAACTTGGGCTGACGGGGTACAACGTCCCAGCAGGCAGACGGAGGGAATCGATTTAAAAAAGGACAAATTTTAAAAAAACACAAAAAGAAAACAACAACTACCCAACCCCCCCCCAAGAAAAAAAAAAGAAACAACCC